GGTGAGATTGGCACAGAATAGGACAGAGTTTAGGGCTGTTGTACATAGGGTCACTATGAGTCACAGGCGACTTGACAACAACGGCAACAACAACATCCCAACATGAACCTATTACTTACCCCAAGAAGCTGTTGTTCAAATCATCAAGGGAACCCTATGTAGTCTAAAATCAGGAGGAAAGGTGTGCATCAGGGTTGTAGCCTTTCTCTATTCCTGTCAGTCTGTAGGTTGAGCATATCATTCAAGAAGCTGGACTATATGAAGAAGAATGTGGCATCAGGATCAGAGTAAGACTAATCAACAGCTTGCTATGTACAGATAACACAATCTTGCTTGCTGAAAGTGAGGAGGTCTTGAAATGCTTGATGCAGAAGATAAAAGGCTGTAGCCTTCAAAATGCATTGTTTGTTTTTTTATTTATAATTTATTTTTCATTTCAATGAACATCTACAGAGATTTTGGAATTCCATTCATTCATTGTTGCACCCCTCTCCCCGCCCCCCCCAAAATGCATTGTATCTCACCATCAAGAAGACAAAAGTCCTCACCACTGGACCAATAGATAGATGAAGAAAAGATTGAAATTGTTAATGATTTCATCTTACTTGGATTCACAATCACCATTCTTGGTACCAACGATCAGGAGACATATTATTGCATTGGGCAAGTCCACTGTTGGTGACCTCTCCAAATTACAGAGGAGGTGATGTCACTTTGAAAACTAAGGTGTGCCTGATTCAGGCTGTGGTCTTTTTAATCACTTGCTAATCATCTGAGAGCTGGAGAGTGAGTAAAGATTACAGAAGACTTGATGCATTTGTGCTGTGGTGGTGTAGAAGAATAATACTGAATATCCCATGGAAAAAAGAGAGAAATCTTAGAAAAGGTACAGCCAGAGTGTTCCTTTGGTGAAAGGATGACAAAGCTTAGTTTAACAAGCTTTGGGCATGTTGGTAGGTGAGGTTATTCCTTGGAAATGGACATCACACTTTGAAAGGTAGAGGAGGATCAGTGAAAGAGAGGAAGACCCTCAACAAGATAGATTAACACAGTGACTGCAACAGTGGGCTCAAGTGTGTCAGAAATGAGGAGGATGGCACAGGAGAGAACAGGGTTCACACATATTGTCCGTAAGGTTACTGTGAGTTGTTCTTGACTTAACACCACCTAACAACAAATAACAGCATTCCAATTAGAGGCCTTTTAAGATTTCATTATTGAGGCTTTACAAGGCTTAGTTATGCCCACAGTCATGCAATTAAAATTAGACATTAGCTAAGGTGATCAGAGTGGACTGAACTAAACAAATGTGTATTTTGATGCTGTGATGATAAGAGTGTGTGTGTGTAAAGTTTACAATGAGAGTAACAAAGCATTGGTTTCTATTTTTAACTTTTTTTTCAGCTGTGCAAATGTATGCCTCTTACTCCCATTTTCATTCTTTTCTCCTCTATAACCTTATCCCCATGGACCTTGTCCCCTTGTTACTTTTCTCCTTCCCACGATTGTCAGTTTCCTAAATGTGTTGCAGGACTAAAAAGTGAAAGTCTTGGAATCTTTTGTCAATTCAAGCATACGCTACATTAGCAAAGAAAACCTGGCGAGAGATTTTATTTCCACTTTTGTCTAGTAATACCTCATTGCCCTTTTTAAAATTCTGTTTTAATTTTTCTTTCCTCTTAAGACAGGACCTACTCCTTGACCTTTTGCCTACTCATAAAGTACTTTTCTAAGGCACTTAGAACATTCTGAGTACTAATGCTCTCTAGTTTCACAACCAACATGCATTTTCTCTCCCCTCTTAACTTTCACTTCTCCTTGTTCATTTCCTTAACACTCTCTTGCTTCTACTTCAACTTAAAATGTTTTATTGACCAAAGGATGTGATTTTATAAGAGGGTCACTGCGTTCTTGAATGTAAATAAAGTGCAAATGCATCTGTCTTTAGAAAGATTAGCAATGAGTTGCAAGAATTTCTCTCCAACTGTTCAGCTAGAATCTCTGAATGTTTGCAGGTGTTTTCCAGCTCTGACTTGTTAGTGTTTGTTCGTAGTTCTATTTCTGAGGCTTTGTGCAAGCAGATGGCACGAAACCACCTGGAAGTAGTTTGTTCGTGGCCTGCTGGCCCCGAAAGGAAGCCTGGCTCTTGGATGGCCCAGCACCCCAGCATTATTACTCCACTCTCCCAGGTGGTTTCCACAGAGCCTTGATGATGTTGTTGATATGTGCCGTCGAGTCGCTTGCGACTCATAGCGACCCTATGTACAACAGCTCTAAACTCTGCTCTGTCCTGTGCCAGTCTCACTGTCTCTGACACACTCATCCTAATTGCCCCAGTCACCGAATCAATCCATCTCCCAGAGTCTCCCAGAGAGCCTTCCCCTCCTGCGCCTGCCCTCCACCCTCCCAAGCATGATGTCTTTCTCCAAGGACCGGTCTCTCCTTATAACATATCATATAAAGTATGTCAGACAAAGCCCCAGAATCCTTGCCTCCAAGGAGCAGCCCAGTTTAACCTTCTCCAGGATGAATCTGTTTGATTTCTTAACAGTCCATGGCATCCTCAGCACTCTTCTCCAACACCAAAGCTCAAATGCATCAATTCTCCTTCTGTCCTCCCTGGTCATTGTCCAGCTCTTTGACACATAACAAGTGATTGCAAAGACCATGGCCTGTACCAGACGCACCTTAGTCTCCAAAGACACACTGTTGCTCTTGAGTACTTTAGAGAGATCCCTAACAGCAGACTTTCCCATCGCAATATGTCTTTTAATTTCCTGGCTGCTGGTGCCAAGAGTGTTGATTGTGGAGCCAAGCAAACTAAAACTGTGAACAATCTCAATCTCGTCACCATCCATCCTGATGCTGCCAATTGATCCAGTGGTGACAATCTTTGTCTTCTTGACATTGAACCTCAATCCATATTGAAGGCTGCAGTCCTTGACCCTCTGCAGCAAACGCTTCAGGTCCTCCTCAGAGCCTTGATAGAGTAAAGATTTCAAGGATTGTGGTTTAGCTTCCTTTTAATTCATTTTCTAAAATTTGAAAGTATTAGTACAGTCTCCTTTGCAGTAAGGTATGGTCATATGATAAGAACATTGACTTTTATTAAACCAATCTAAAATTGAGTTCTGATCGCATTACTGCCTAGGTCTCTCTCCTTGCTCTCTGGGAATAGTTTAGAGGAAAGAGAGACCTAGAAAAAAATTTTTTTCCAGCAAAATATAGATACTTTAGCAAAAATATATGTAAACGTCTAGTGGGTGCATATGCAAAGGGCCATCAGAGTGAATACCTAGGATCTGAGACTTAAATGATAAGATCGGGAAAACAGGTGTCCTGGGGCAAGGTGTGAGAAAGGGCATGGGGATACAAGAGAATGTGTAAATATGTATGTGGAAGCTAGAAAGCTTCATGTTGTCAGAACACAAAGCCCAAGGAGTATGGGAAGTGGCTGGAGATACGGATGGACAAATAACCTTCAGATCATGAAGAACTTTGAGTGAGACATAAAGACAGACATTATCCTGTGAGTGGTCAGGCTCTATTTAAGAATTGGAGCCTTCGAAGTGTTAGGTGAATTATGCCATTGTTAGAGGGGCTATGTTAGAGGGATTACACTGTTGAGGCTGTTCCAGCTAGCGTACAACAAAATACTGCCTGCTCCTGTGCCATCCCACAATCGTTGCTGAGTTTGAACTCCTTGTTAGAGCTGCTGTGCCAGTCCAGGTTGCTCAGGATTGCTCACTTTTCACTTACCAGCTGCTTACTGCTAGGGAGCTCTGGTGGCCTAGTGGTAATGAATTGCACTGCCAACCTAAAGAAGAGCACATGGTTCGAGTCCACCAGCTGCCCCATAAGAGGAAGATGAGCAGTCTCCTCCTGTGCAATTTATAGCTTCTGAAAACCTGCTGGAGGTTCAGCCATGCGTCAGTTCCAACTTGATGGCACACAACAACCACAACTGCTTACTACACATGATATCCTTCTCCAGAGACTGGTGCCTCCATAGAACAGAATTTTATGGCAGTTCGTGGTATGTTTAATTTGTCTTCCAGTACCATAATTCAAAGACATCATTTCTTTGGTCTTTCTAATTTATTGTCCAGCTATTGTATGCACCTTAGTCCCCAAAGTGACAACTTGGCTTTTTAATACTATAAAATGGCCTTTTGGCATACATTTTCCCAGTGCAATGTTTTTGAGTTCTTTACTTCTGCTTCTATGAGCATTGATCATGGATTCAAGTAAAATTAAATCCTTGAAAACCTCTTGTCTTTTTCCTGTTTCTTATGGTGCTGCTATTGGTCTACTTGTAAGAATTTTTTTTAAAAATTTCTTTATGTTGAGGTATAATCCATCCTGAATACTAAAGTCTTTGATCTTCATCCTGTGAACCTAAGAGTAGTTTTTAGAACTTGATGGCCACATTCTTCTTCAGATAGTCCACCTTCTTAGATGATTTTCTCAATGTAAAAATGAAATAAATATTATTAAATATTATTAAAAATACAACCGTGATACCCACTTTTTCTCATTTTAAACCACACTGTATGTCCTTGACTCAGAACCACTTCTGATTGTCCTACTCATTGCTGTTGACTCATGGCTCGCTATCCATCAATTTTCAAAGGCTGTTAAATTACATGGGAGAATACTGACCATCTCTCTTCCTTAGAGCAGCTGGAGAATTCAAACTGCTAAAGGAGCTAGACTTTTGGGGTAGCAGCACATTTCTTTATCTGCACCTGTATCTGTGATTGTGGTTGTTGTTGTGTTAGGTTCTGTGAAGTTGAGTGCTACCCTAAAAAATAAACCTGAGCCTCGTTCTATCCTGTGCCAACCTCACAATCTCTGGCACACTAAAGCCTATTGCTGCAGTCACTGTGTCAGCCCACCTGGTTCAGGGTCTTCCTCTCCTTCGCTGTCCTTCCACCTTTCTGAGCATGATGGGGTTTTTTCCAAGGAATAGGCTTTCCTAGCAACATGTCCAAAGTATGTGAGACAAAGCTTCGCTCTCCTTGCTTCCAAGAAGCAACTGACTTCACCCTTCTCCAGGACATACCTGATTGTTCTTTTGGCAGTCCATTGACTATTCAATATTCTCCTCCAACACCACAGCTCAAAGACATCAGTTTTTCTTCTCTCATCCTTATTCATTGTCTAGCTCTTAGATGCATAACAAGTAATTGAAAAGACCATGGTCTAGACCAGGTGCACCTTAATACTCGAACTAACATCATTGCTCCTCAATTTGGAAAGGTCTCTGACTGCAGACTTTACCAGTACAATACATCCCCTGATCTCCTGACTGCTGGTGCCTAGTGTATTTATTGTGTCTCCACTTAAGATGAGGTCATTAATAGCTTCAGTCTTTTCTCCATCTGTCATGATAGCACCTATCAGTCCAGTGGTGAGAATTTTTGTTTTCTTGACAAAATCTATGATTTTAGAGAAGCAAAAATATATATGCAAAGGAATTTGTGCAAAGGGGAAAAAAGGAAGTGAACATATGAGGTTTTAAAGAGGCTAAACAAAATGAATCTTTAGAAAATTATTGAGACAAACATTCCATCAGCAGAAAATACTGTTAAATATGCAAAAGGACATTTTAAACACAAGGTTTGGCAGATGTGGGTGCTGTGGCCTGGTTACCTTTTAGACTTTTCTGGCTAAAAGATCTTAAAGGAGCTGATCACTCAACCTGCTGACCCACCTGCTCATCTCATCCATCCAGTTACACTTTCCATTTGGTTGGAGGAAAAAGGCAGAGAAACAAATTTCATGTAACACCCAGTATGTTTCTCCCCCCCCCCCCCCCAGGAAGGAGAACAGTTTGTGAAGAAAATCGGTGGCATTTTCGCCTTTAAAGTGAAGGATGGCCCTGGGGGTAAAGAAGCCACCTGGGTAGTGGACGTGAAGAACGGCAAAGGATCAGTACATCCTAACTCAGGTCAGTGTGGTCACTCACAGTGGCGCGCTAACAAGTTCACCAGGCCCGGCAGCAGGAAGGGGCGATCCCGGGGCTCTGGGTGCTGCAAACGTCTAACATGCTCAGCTGCTGGCTGACTGGTTGGCGGCTGGAGTTCACCCAGTGATGCCTGGTCAATCCCATCTTGTTGAGGGTCTTCCCCAGAAGAAAGGCCTGGTGAATATACATCCCCAAACCCAGCTGTGGCATATTATGTACAGCATAATTCTATTCTTAACACGTGTGAAATTATCATGAGTCAGAACTGATCTTGATATCCCAGAAGAGCTAGTCATGTTACAGCTGTAATGATTCCTTACAGCAGAAATAAGCTCTCTCACTCTCATTGCTGTGGAGTGAGAACCAACTCCTAGTCAACTCTCCAGTGAGTTTTCAAAGGCTATAAATTGCATAGGACTAGAGTGCTCATCTTTTTCTCAAAAGAGAAACTGGCAGATTTGAACTATCAACCTTTGGCTTGGCAGTGCAGCTTTTTACCTACTAAGCTACCAGAATTCTCTAGAAAAGAATTGTTGTTGTGTACCGTCAGGTTGGAAATGACCCATAGCTGACCCTCCAGCAGATTTTCAGAGGCAGTTAATTGCATGGGATAAGATTGTCCATCCTTCTCCCATGGAGTATCTGGTGGACTCAAACCTCGTGCCTTTGGGATTACAGTGCAGTATTTTGCCACTAGGCCATAAGAGCTCCCATCCTAATTTTCAGAGAAGAGTTAAGTCTGCTCTATTTTTACTCAGCACTTATTGTCATCTTGTGTACAGCTCTTCCCATTTGAACTGTAAGCTGTGTGAAAGGAGAGATTTCTGCCAGTTAGGTTCACTGCTGTATTCCTAGTATCTGGGAGATCTTCATTTTAAAGAAATAATTTTAAAACTAATCTCAAGCCTATCATAAATGCAGGCCCTCACTAGTTTAGATTGTTTTTTGTTGTTTCTTTTTTATGGAAAAGCATGATGTGTTCAGAAATACAGATTTTTGTCTTAGTTATCTAATGATGTTAAAGCAGAGATAACAGAAGTGGGCGACTTAAGCAAACAAATTGATTCCCTTACACTTTAGAAAATAAGAAGTCCAAATTTAGTGTGCCAGTTCTAGGGGAAGTTCCTCTCTCTCTGTCAATTATGGAGGAAAGTCCTCGTTTCCTTCAGCATCTGCAGACTGGGTATTCCCTGGAGGCCCCTGTGTGTTTGGCCTTCCCTGCAGTCCGTGAGCTTTATTGCACAGAGGCCCAGCGCCAAAAAGATGCACTATGCGCCTGGCAATTACTACTTAGTATTACTAAGGGATCAGCTTTCACCTAGTTTTAGCTCTAGTGAGATGAAAGGTATTACAGGCCACAGCATAGGGCAACATCTCCTACATCTTTTAAGGCTGTGATAGGATTAAGGAGTGTTTCTTTTCATCCACCCTTAATTCTGCTACAGCTTTTTGGTTTATCAGATCATGGAGGATCATTACATAGTTTCCACATTATATACATAGGGTTTTTTTAAGGACTCAAATTCAATCCATGACAAATTTGTACCAGCTTTTGGGAGGGTTTTAAATGCCATGCTGTGAACTTTGGTGTGCGTAATCAATCCATCAAAGCTTTTTAAGTGAAAAAATGAAAGTCAGAGCTATGTTTTTTAAGATGAAGCCAGTACTGTAGACCTGATCAATTGGAAAGAGAGAAATTGGACCCAGAGAGAGAAATGAGGAGGCTGGATGTTGCCAATAGTAAACTGAGTGGAAGAGCTTGAAGTGTTGACAGTAAGGAGGGAAAATCAAAGGAGATGCGTGTGGATGCACTCCCGGACCCCCCTGGACCCCTCTATCCCAGTTCCTCCAACAAAGTCACAGGATATTGATGTGTAATTGGAAGTTCTGCATGAGGAAGACAGCCATCAACAATGGCAACATTTAATTATTGAGGGGAGTCCTGGAGGAGGAGATGGCATTGGGAGGAAGGTGGTAGAGGAGGAGGGAACTCTCATCTCCCTGTAGGTGAATGACTGTGAAAAGCATTTGGAGGTGGGGAGGTTGTTGGCACAACTCTTGGAATACAGTGTAGACCTTGGATTATAAAATTGATTGGTTACATGTACTATTAAATAAGGAATCCACTAATGATTAATGAAGAAAAGACAGTATTAAGGGCATCTGATGAAGACATTGTGGCTTTCTTATAGAGGTTCTTGAATAATTATTGTTATGTGCTTTTGAGTTGCCTGTGACCCATAGCAACCATATGTGTCCTGAGCCAGTCTCACTGACTCTGACACATCTTTTCCCATTGCCCCAGTTACTGTATCCATTTCATCCAGGGTCTTCCTCTCCTGCACTGTCCTTCCATCCCTCCTAGGATGATGTCCTTCTCCAAGGACTGGTCCTCCTGGCCATATATCCAAAGTATGTGAGATGGAGCTTCAAAATCCTAGTCTCCAAAGAGCAGCTTGGTTTCACACTCTCCAAGACAGACCTATTTGTTCTCCTGGCAGTCCGTGGTATGTTCAAGACTCTTCTCCAGCACTACAACTCAAAGACATCGATTCTTCTTCTGTCATCTTTAGTCATTGTCCTGCTCTCTGTTGCATAGCAAGTAATTGTGAAGACCCAGGCGCATTTTAATCTCTAGACTGTCATCATTGCTTCTTCATACTCTGGAGAGGTCCCTGAGAGCAGATTTTCCCAGTGCAATTTGTCTTTTGATTTCCTGACTGCTGGTGCCAGGAGTGTTGATTGTGAAGCTGAGCAAGCTATAATTGTTAGGAATCTCAATCTCTTCTCCATCTATCATGATGCTGCCAATTGGCCCAGTGGTAAGAATCTTTGTCTTTTTGATGTTGAACTTCAGTCCATATTAAAGACTACAGTTCTTGACCTGCAGCAAGTGCTTCAGGTCCACCTCAGTTTCAGCAAGCAAGGTTGTAACATCTGCATAATATAGGTTGTTGATAAGACTTCCTCCAATCTTGATCTTGAATAATAGGGAGCCCTTATTTTTCTGCATGTGTGAAAAATGACAAGATGTTAGGTTAGAATTCTGTGAGTTGCCACTCTCAGATGGTGTAGAAAGAAAACCAGAAAATGAAATGCTTTGTCTAGATTCTAGCTTTTAGAAATTAATTTTTTAGAAAAATACCATAGTATGTAGTAGTATGACTGAATGTTAATTAGTTACTTCAAGATTATATTCTGATCTGCCCAGGTAGGCATTAAGGTGATTTATAAAATATTTTTCTTCCCTCTCGTTTTTGTGTTTATGGTCATAAATGATAATATGCTGTGGAAAACTGCTGAAAAACTTCAGAAAAACGTCTCCTGCAGATAACTTTCTTCAAGTTAAATGCCCATTCTAGACCAAAAGGACCTTGCCCTTGGCCAGGGTAATTTCTACTGAAATTGACACTTGTTGGCAGCTGGCAGTGGTGTTGAAATATGGACCTAACCAGTAAAAGCCATCCATGGAAAACGCTGGCTCCTTTTACATCACCAACAAATGACCATTTGTTAAGGATTAGCTACATTAGAGCATTAATAAGCTGTCCTAGTTTGAACTGGCATCTTAAGATTTGCTGGTCCTTTTAAATAATTTTGATTGGTTTACTTAAGGATAACTGAGTAAGATTTATAAAAATGCACTTCATTTGCTTATATTTGAGAAACTTGACTGATCATACAGATGATTATACTAAGGACTTTTACATTTTTTTGTGCCTTTTCCATATTCTTTTCTTGTTATGCGAATGTCTTTCAGTACCTTCTCCATGGCCTCTCCTTAGAATGACTCATATAGCATATCTCCAGAAAGGCAGCATTGATTAATAAGCATGACACTCATTTTTCCTCTGCTCCTTTATCCCTGTGCTGCATGCACTTAGTTGAATTCTCAACCCTGCCCATTTGTGAAGAACAGAACACAGAAAACCTCAGACTCCCTTCTTCCCCCTCATGCTGAAGTTCACTGGAAAGAACACAGCCATTGGAGATGTATAACTTCCTTTAGTCTAATTGTCACATATGGAAAAGAATACAAATAATTTCCCTCAATAAAATTGTTCTGACAATTAAATGAGATGATGATGATGATGATGATTGTAAAGCACCTGACACAGTAAACCAGATCAATCCCAACCCTCTTAACAGAGCATTGGTTCCAACTCAGATTAGCCCTACAAGGCAGAATAGAACTGTCCCAGAGGGTTTCCTAGGCTGCGACATCCTCTGCCTAGTTGTTAGGTGAGGTTAAGTCGACTACAACTCAGAGTGACCCTATGGACAGCAGTTCTGAACCCAGTCCTGTCCTGTGTCATCCTCACAATCTGTGATACACTTGAGCCCATTACTACAGTCACTGTGTCACTCCATCTGGTTGAGGGTCTTCCTCCCCTTTGTTGTCCCTCCATCTTTCCAAGCATGGTGTCTTCCACCATGTTTCTGCCTAGTGTGTGGGTTAAAACGACCAGTTTTAGAACTAGTAACCCAGTGCAATTTTAAGAATCAGTTATCATTTTTGTTCAGTCAACTGTAAACATTAATTTTGTATGGACACATTAAGCTCGTCCAGGACTCCTCAGAAGGACCTGCGGTCCGGGAGGGGAGCTGGGATTCATCAGGTGCTGATGAGTTGATCGATGAAGCCCCGTTGAAGCTGAGCTGTTGACTGTGCCTCTTTCCCAGAACAAGAGGCGGTGGAGGAATATAGGAGTAGAGCGTATAGACTTTGATTGCAGAAGTGTGCATTGAGAACTAGGTCAGCCACTCAGTCACTAGCTTTGTGATCTTGGACAAGTTATCTGACCTTTCAGACTGTCATCCAAAAGAGCTCATTGCTGTTGAGTCGATTGAGACTTATAATCACCGTGTAGGACACAATGAAAAGGCCTCATTGGGTTTCTAAGTCTAATCTTTACAGTGGCCTACTGCACATCTTTCTCCTGCTGGTCCATAGGGTTGTTTAAAAGATCAAATGGCACCAA